GAGGATCTTTGCGGCTAAGCCTGTTCTACACCAACTCAACCCTAAGCATACAACCTATGTTAAGGCTGACTGCTCAGGCTTCACCCTTAGAGGAGTACTGTCATAAGAAGATAAGCACAGAAGACGTCATGCAGTAGCATACCACTCGCAGCAGCTTAACGCTGCCTAGTTCAACTATCTGATATATAATAAGGAGATGCTAGCTATTATGAGCTGCCTATAAGAATAGAGAGCAGAGCTACAGAGTGTCAGCCACTTTAGGATCCTATCAGACCATAAGAACCTAAAGTACTTTATAACGAAGCAGAAGCTTATAGAACGGCAAAGCTGATAGGCAGAGGAACTATCTCAGTATAACTTTGAGATATAGTACCAGCTAGGAAGTGAAGCAGTAGTGCCAGACGCACTCTCTAGATGCAAACAAGACGTACCTACATCTCTAGAGGATGAGTGCAAATAAGGCTGGATTCTCCAGCTTCTTCCCGAAGTAGCCCTTACCTCAACGCGTACATAATGCGTAGAGGCAGCCCTATTAGTGCTTATGTTCACTAACGATAAGGAACTACAGCAACTCTGGGACCAGACCTAAGGGTAAGACTAAGTCTACCAGCAGGCATATAATGCTGTGAAACAATAAGAAAGAAGCTTCCCTCTTAGCCTCAAGCTAAAGGTCCAGATTGCTAAGTGTAAGATTAATAATAGTAACCAACTACTATTCAGAGACTAGATCTAGGTACTAGGTAGTAAAGACCTAGATAGTGAGGCGAACACACTATATACTTATATCGTTTAAAGCAGCTATAACTCAGTACTTAGTGGACACCCTAGTAGAGATAATACCCTTATATTAGTTAGTAGGCGCTTCTACTAGCCTAGCTAGTCACAGCTAGTACGACGCTTCTGCTGTAATTATAATAGCTGCAGGCGAAGCCATATCTGGAGAGAGCATCAAAAAGGACTTCTGAAACCTCTACTAATACTGCAGCATATTGTTACGACCCGTTATGTGTGGATAACAGTTGACCGACCCACTTGGGCATCGGGCGGCTAGGATAAGACATTTGTACTGCAGGATCACGGGAACAACAGGGACTCACTCGGAGACGGAAGAACTATGGTACAAGTCACGTGACGATAAGAAGGACCGACGAGAGATAAGCGGTCCTGATCTAGGACCGACATGAAGAAAGCGGTCCACACCCGGGGACCGCCCGGAAGACATCGGTCCTCAGTTTAAAGAAACTACTTAGACTTGTATATAGTATGACCCTGAGCCTGGCTCATGGTCAGACTTCCATAGCTCTTCAGCAATCAACTTAGTATTTATCCTCACGGATACTCTCAGCTTACCTTCACTGCGAATCACTTATTGAGTCTAAGACTGATCACCTTAGCCTCTGAAGACCCGATCTACTACAGCCTACGAACTACGACCTACGACCACGACCCCGTGTACTGTTAGAACGTATCAATCCCCAGCTTCTGTTAGCAGACCCTACTGTCGGATAGCTGACCGTAACACATATATAAAGCAACCTCGCTATAGATTTTATTACTAACCTTCCCTTTACGGATAAGGGTGAGGGATACCTTTAGGTAATTATCAACCGGCTAGGAAAAGGTGTAACCCTTAAAGCTATAGAAAGTATAGAAGCTGAAGCCTGCGCTGAATAATTCCTAAGCTGCTACTTCTGCTTCCACAGCATCCCTACTTTAATTATGAGCGACAGAGGAAGCAACTAGACGAGCTGCTTCTAGCGGCAATTCTGCAAGCTTTTAGGAATAGAACAGCAGCTTAGTACTACCTATCACCCACAGACTGATAGCAGCCTAGAAAGGATAAACCAAGAGATCTAGGCCTACCTACGCAATTATATTACCTACTCGCAGAAGGATTAGGCGAATAACCTCCTAGCAGCTTAACTAGCGCTCTGCAGCTGCGATAGCAGCGCTATAGGCATGAGCAGCTTCTTCTTAGAACACAGATACCACCTAGAGCCTGTCTGGGTTCAAGAGGTAGACCCAGAAGACCATAAGGGCCCTCGTGAGGACCTAGCATGTAAGTTGGTAACAAGGCTCTAGGACGTGATAGATATAGCACGGTCGACCCTTACCTCAACATAGTAACGCTATGAGGAGCTGGCTAACAGGAAGCGCCAGCCTACAGAGAGACTAAAAGCAGGCGACAAAGTCTGGCTTTATATAGGCTACTATAGGTCCCCTAGGCTATATAAGAAACTAGATTAGTTACACTATAAGTATACTGTTACGAAGGTTATCTCACTATATGTGGTAAAGCTTAATATGCTAACAGCTATATACCTACGCTTCCACGTGGATACCCTGAAGCGTGCAGGTAACAACCCTTTACCTAGGTAAACGCTAGATAACAAGCAGCCGCCACTAATTATAGATAATAAAGGCGAGGAGACCTGGAATATAGAGAGTATCAACGCTGCTACCTAGAAGCGTCGAGGGCGCGGGTGACGCTGCGAAGTTCTGGTTAAGTGGGAAGGATATGCAGAGAGGACCTAGGAGCCTATTGAGACGCTCCAGGGGACAGAAGCATTGGAGGCTTATGAACGCCGTTATGGCTCCGCGATGGAGCATGATGGAGACCCAGCCTTAGGGCCGCAGGCACGCCGCCGGAGGGGAGCGGGGGGGTAATGTCACGGGCTAGAGCCCGGATTGATATCTCCGGCTTTGCCGGAGCAATTACTAAGATCCGGCTCCGTTGGACCTACTACTCTGCCGCGTTACACCGCCTAACCCGGTCTGCTTCACCGCTGTTAGGTGCCTACTCTTGTAAAGTCCTTTCTTCCTTCTTCAGCTGAGAATAGTCAATCGACGGCACCTCTACGTTGAACAAGCCTAGGGGCCAGCCCCTTACATAATTAATAATTATAAAATAGAACCTATTTATTTTTAACTTTTAATTAGTAGCTTTTAATTAATTAGTTATTAGCTATAAGCTATTAAATTATAGCTATTCTTTATTAGTTATAAGTTATTATTTAGTAGTCTCTAGTTATTACTTATTAATTACTAAATATTTATTAATAAATATTAGTTATTTACTGTGAAATACTAATTAGTAGTTACTAAATATTAGTTGTTAGTTATTAGTCATTAATATTTAACTTTTAATTATTAGCTATTAGCTATAAGCTATTAAATATTAATTATTAACTAATAATTATAAACTAATATTCTTTTTCTTAAACCTTTAGCTAATTATTTAAAGTTTATTAGTTACTAGCTATTAAGTATTAAGTATTAGCTTTTAGCTATGAAATATTAGCTATTAATTATTAGCTATTAATTACTAACTACTAAATATTACTTATTAATTATTAATTATTAGCTATTAGCTATTAGCTATTTCTCATTAGTTTTGAAGTATTATTTATTAATTATTATTTTTAATACGAAAAGCTATATATAACACTTCTATATATATAATAAGATATAAATATTTCTTTAAATATATAACACTTTAGTATATATATATATATATTATACTTATTTTTACTATTATATTAATTATTATAAATTTTAAGTTTTAATTATTTATATTAAAATATTATATATTAATTATTAGCTATAAATTACTAACTATGAACTATTAACTATTAACTATTAACTATTAACTATTAACTATTAACTATTAACTATTAACTATTGATTATTAACTGTTAACTATTAGTTAACTTAGTTAATTAGCTAAGCTAGCTACGCTGGCTAGGCCAGCCCCACTATGCATATAGGGCCCTGTGAGGGCCCCACAGGGGCCCTCACAGCCAAATAAGACCCTAGCCCCTCAGCGCGGGCCAATAGATTTGAAGGTTCTTTCCCCCACTTTACAGGGGTCTTAGCTAATACATTTAGACGTTCTTTTACAGCTAATCATTTTCGCCTAATCGGGACGAGGTCTAAGGGTAGCTGATCGAGGGTCGTGCAGGTAGTCAAATATAACCTTTCTTCCGAAAGGCATTTGCGTTCGTTTCATTCGAAATTTATTCCGCTTTTGGAACAGCTGGACCGTTTTAATGTCCGGCTTGGGTAAGGATCTTACCTCTTGGGAAGATTATCTGTGTCTCTTTCCAAGCCCTCGTTACTGGGACCAAACTAATGCAAGACGCACATGAGGGAAAGCGGATCAAATCGATTTTCAGTTGACATTCCAGACTAGACGCTACTACGACCCTACGATCATCCCCCGGCCGATGTCTCAACTTTAAACACAGACATCGTAACCAATTAGGACTTCAACTCCGTGTGGAGCCACGCGAGCTTTGAAATACAGAGCTGAGTCTCAAGCCTCAATCACATTCGGACCGCACCGAGAGAATATGTGCCGACCATCATGGCGACTAACAGGCCTGTCTAGATGCTTTCTACGGATAAACTAGACTGGCAATGTACAGAATACAGTAAGATTCAAGTTCATCCCAGCCTTGAGCTTCTCCCACGGGCTACGAGTGGCGAAGATTCTAGATTTCACCTTGTCTCGCGTCGGAATGGAGGCTGAGACGGATGCTTCTGGAAACGCATTGCCCTCTGAGAGTTTCTCAGGCATGGGCTTAGAGTAGTCGCAATATCCATGACACGAGCCCTACAGTCCCATCACTTCACCACTGGAAATGCATGTCAGGCAAGCTGGGCCTGGTCTTATTCAACAAGCCACAAAACCCGCCTTCGAAAATGTCGCCAGATGATATCAAAAGCCATGCTTGGAACAGTCAAGCGTTTGAGCCGTGTGCAGTTCCACTCCAGACTGACACTCTCACCTGGTTCTGAATCGAAAGATGGAATCGATCAATCCGGATGTCGTCGAGAACGTTGGCAGGCCCGCAAAACGAAATGCGTCTTATAAATTCCTTGGCAAACACTTCCAAGACTCTGGTAGTTGACAAGTCTTGCATTGACAACAGCGGTTTACGAGAGCTGGCCTCCATCTTCAATTCATTCCATTAGCGAGCAATACGTCACACATCATTATGCACGCGACCTCACATGAGCACCGTGGCTCTGCGGCATCAACTTTCCTGCACGAGTCTGCATACGGGAGCGATAAGAAGGCCAGCGTGATACATGTTCATCCTCAATTTCCGACTGAGGAATATCACCATACCACCAGGCAGCCCTCTACAGGGTACAAGCTTGTCAGTGCGTGGTGGAGTCTGGAGCTGGCATCCACCGCCATCTGTGTTGGCTTCTTTGCAAAATACTGGTGGCTTCTCGAACATTACGACGACAAGCCTGTAAGCAAGTGGAAAGGCCCACAGGCTCGGCTATCCCCGCTTAAGAACCTCCCAGCCGCTGCTGCAATCGTTATGACTGCATTCAGGGTCTTTCTGAGCTATCCCATTGCAGCATCGATGGGCAAGTTGCAATGGGATCATACGGCAGTCAACAAGGTGCGCCTCCAGGCGGCAAACTGCGAAGAAAAAGGTTAGAAGGGAAGAAAGATTGCAATGGGATCAATTCGGACGACCGTGGCCCAGACCAGTTGCAGATCTGCAGGCTTTTGACGCAGCATCTCGAGGCACTTTTGGGTCTGCCAGACTACTCTTCTCTAAAAGCATCTTGCACGTTGTTCTTATTATCGTATTTCTAAGGTGCGCAGTTCAAAAACGCAATGTCATTGCTGACGCCACATCAGCTACTCTATACACATCTCCCTTGGCTGTGTTCTGATCCTCGGAACTAAAGGGTTGCAGACTTTGGGGCAGAGCGCTATCACGCAACACGCCGGAACTTACTGGGAAAAGGAAATTTCCGGTGTTTTGAACGCAAGAATTCCATTCTGCAAACTCTACAACATCTCAGAGACGCACGACATAGATTGGAACGGCATAAACGGAACGAATCAGCAAGCCTCAGACGCAGACTCCCGCACTCGTGCGGCCCTCCTTTCTGCTTGGTCACGCATCTTGAAGCCAAAGGCCATAGACCACCAAGTCACCACTATACCGGCTAATTGCTCAACGAAGAGATGCCAATGGAAAGATGTTACTACGATCGCTGTCGATTACCAGTGTGCCAATGCGTCAGCTGTCATCAACGCCGAAGGTTTCGCGTTTTCCAGCCAGGCCAATATCACCAATCGCGTCTCAGTACCAAGTTTCAACGGAGCTTTTTGCGCATGCTCAAATCCGTTTGAAGCCGAGTTTGACCATCCCCAACAGTAGTGTTTTCACATCAACATACTCCAACAGCCCTGGACTCATTCTCCATTTAGCTGCCATTGCTGAGCGTGGCGATGGTGAGTTTGAGGCGGCCGAATGTATATTCAGCTGGGAGGTGGCTACATGGGGTTTCAATACCTATTACGTGACCAGCCTGTCGTTTGACCAGGGTAGCAACACAGACTGTCACACCGTAACGCCTAATCCAGCTACGAATCAGGACAAAGGTGTCATCATTCATGCTCCTTGCAACACCGGACACAACATTGCTAGCGAGGAAGATCCAGGCGGCATGAAATCTTCGTATACTGTCACGAACCATGCACACGAGGGACTGCGAAATTTCCTAGCAAATGCCCTCCGAGGGTTCACGTACCGCGAAAATTCAAAGACACACCATATTTCGGTCAGACAATACAATCTTCAATATCTTTCGGTCATCATGGCAACAGAGCTTCAAAGAACCAGGTGCGCAGACTGCCTTAAATACGACAATGGGTATCTATGCTCGTCAGATTGCCTGGGGAATTGTTGCTGCTGTAAGAGCCTTATTCAATGACACAGTGTCTGGGCAAGTCGAGCAGGAGGACCAAATTTTCAAGATCAACGAAAGCTACGTAGCTTATCCAGGGTGTTTGCTAGGCCTAACTATTTACCTCCTCTTCTATGCCATGTGACGGACGAAAGGTGGACCTACTTGGAAGACTTCCTTGCTTCCCTTCTTGTATCACGGCTTCGAGCTTCCGGCGACCGAGCCAGGCTGTCATTGCCGGAACCTGGCATGGATGGAGGAAGTAAGCAAGCACAAGCAAGTAGTCCTGCGTGACGATGGCGACGGGTTAGGACTTAAGCTGAGAAACTCTTAGACAAGCATTATTTCATCACACTTCAAGTCTCTGGGCTTCTCTTGGCATGGGCCATCGTCGTGCCAACTTAGGAGGGCAAATCCATAATCTGATGCATTCCAGCCACAAGCCTTCTTCTTCTTTCATAACAATGAAGCCTAGATGTAACTACATGTATCAGGATATTTGCGATGACTGTATGAGTAGAGACGAGAGTAGAGAAACTGAATAAATGTGATTACAAGGTGTCCTTTATGGGGAACGTCAATTTATGCTAATTCCTTCGAAACAACGTGAGCTCACAAGCCTTAAATCCTATTTTGCTTCCGTATGAGCCTCGAAGTCTGCTCATGTGGGGGTGTGAAAGACTAACAATGGACTATGTGAGACTATTCTAAAGCTAGACCGCGATCCTGTCATGTAAGCTTAATGTCTCTGCTTGGGAAAGAGTGTTGTTAGATGTGATATGCTGTGTACTGGAGACTTACAATTGACTCATGACTGTAATCATGTATAAAATCTATATAGGTCCTTGTCATACCTTCGCGCGTCCCTTCAGTTCTTAGGTAATTCGCCTTCCATATCCGCCATGGAAATGTTCCGTGTCTTGAGCAGCCTCCATGCCGATACAGGTGGGCCATGGGAGATATATACACACGATCCAGCACCGTACCAGATATCACAATCCTGGATCGCAAAGGCCTTCTATTATACCATCACTGTATCTCTCAACGCGGGCGCTAGAAACCTTCATCAGAAGTGCCTCTATCCATCTCTCTTAGCTTAAAGCCAAGACCATCGTCAGCGTCCCGCAAGACTACTTTTTTCTCTTTGCTAAATTACTCCATCCACGGCAAGCTTGAAAGATCATATCTCGAGTCCAAAACTAGGCGATCAAAACCGTGGTACAAGTATGGAAGAAGGGATGACTTCCATAGCGGCATGCTGCGGGTAGCCCATACTGTGAAGGCAAATAGATAGAGTGTCAGTATCAACATAGCCCCTGGATAAATGGTGTACTTCCACTCAATGTGGAATATTGGCTCAAATGACCCATTCTTGTCCTTCCAGCTGCGTCACTTGCTTGGTGCGGATGTATCCGGAGAGACTATAGATCGTATTCAACATATAAACCTCCAAGGTTGTGGTCAAGGGGTTTGGAAACATCGAGACTTTCACAAGAGTGGTTCTCCATTACCAGGCAAACAAATCCATGACTGTGCTGCTGGGTATAAAGAGTGTACCGTTCTGATTCGGATCTCGGTACACATACCCGGTCATGAAGTCCGTCAGAAGCTTCCTAACGGCCAGATTTGCATCGCTGGTAATCTTGAAACTACATGTTTCGGTGTTTCTTTTGCCACTGCAGGGAGCCTTAAACACGATGCTTTCATCTTCTGTAGAGGTCCGGTTCTCGGGAAGGCTTTGGATGGATGAAACAGTCTGCGTCAGTGTCGAGCCTGAGTTATTGTGATAGACGGTCTCGGATACGTGCGCGGCTGTCCAGAAAATGAGACACTCCGCTGCATCAAAACTCTGATCATCATGTTCAGCGATTGCCGCGAGATGAATGATCACGGCCCTTTGTCTGTCGGTCCTGTTGAAGCCGCTGTTTTCCGGTATTTTAGGGCTTGCCCGGAGGTTAATTATGGCTTGTCGACGAGTAGATGATCCGTTGGTAATGATGTCGATGCTTGAAGCTATGTCTGCCTCTTTCGAGTATCCATGTCCATCTCTGCCGAAGGTCGTTGCGGCGCTACGGCATTTCACAGCCATGCTGAGCGTAGTTGTATTATGCCATCGGCAATAGGTAGACGAGCAGTTGGCTGAAACCTGATCGATTTCTTGGTTCTCGAACAGTGAATTTTCGTAGAATGACCAAGCAGTGAATAGAGCTGCTTGCATTCCCGGATTCGAGATATAGAGTGTCTAGAGTGAGCAAGCAACCCAACGTTGTATGGATGGAGTGGCTTTTGCAACATTAGCGAGAGCACAATGTTTGGAGAATAATAGTTCCCTTACAATCTTTTGCCAGATACGAGAAGCTTTATTGACCCAGATACGCCACGGGATGCTGCGTCAAATGTTTCCAACTCGGCTACTGGTCGCGAATACCGGCGTAGAAAGTAGTGCCACTTAAGTTGGCCCATTGCGGCGGTGATTGGGATGAATGAAAGAATTTTCAAAACTGTGATGATAGAAGATGCCGCAGACCCAAGATTCTTGACGTAAAAGCTGGAGAAAACATGCGGCACTCTCTCGTTCCAGTCGGACACCCGATATCCGTCCCAACTATTGAGGAACCAGCAGTATAGCCCGAATACTGCGAAAGACATGATCATGCAGGCTATTTCCATATACCACCATCCAGTAAGTAATTTAGATACCGTCGAAGGGGGCTCGATAGCATGACAGGTGGCAGTGCTGGTCTCTGGTAGAGAAGGAGATTGTAGCCCCGCTGACTGTGAGCCGCCGCGAGGGCCAGTCTCGAAGTCCTTGGAGATTATAGTAGAAATAATAGAGTCTCTATGTTTTTCTGATGACATATTGCCGCATGTGAATTGTTGAGATTAATGTGAGCGGCGGTCGTCCAGAGGTGCGAATGGGAATGAAGACTTGGTGGACTTTCCGGCTGGGTCTGAAATGTGACAAAAAGAAGTCGCCGTGATCGCCTTTTGAACTTTGAAGTGGTCAAGACCGCCTGCTTGAGTAAAAGGGCTTGTCCGTACTGAAGCTGTGACCCAACATTGCAAAGGATATATTCAAATACACGTAGGAAAGATGTTTTGAAACACATACACGTCTCTCGTCGCAGTAGGCGGACCCCGAGACAGGCATTGACCAAACGAAAGGCCCAAAGATTCCATTCCGCCGGCGATATGGCGTATGTCTTTGGACAGCCTTGCGAAACAAATCAACAGGTGATTTTTCACTGCAAAGCGTCGGGGCTGCTCCCTAGAGAATCTATGCCTAGAAATGGCGCGGAGGGATCGAGTGTTGCATTCGTCTTTGACACACCCAAACAGTCAGTTTCTTTCGATAGGCCTAGTTACATGACTGCTGGACGCCCTTTGCCCTAAGCAAGAGGGACGCACCGGCGTAAAATAATACACACACACACACACACACCCAAACAGTCAGTCTTGAAGCTGAAGACATTCCATATTAGGTTTCCAACGTAAACTGATGAAGCTCGGGGTCCTCAAACCGGTGTCTGAAAGCTTGGCCTTGACCTGAGGTTAGGCTTCAGCATTCCTGGCGCCCCGCCGCCCCCACAGCACGTGGTCAATAAGCCACGAAGCCGTTATCGGTGATTGCGGTGTAGGCCGGTGTCTACCTAGCGCGGCTCAGCAACTTCTTGTCTCGATGCTCGCGTACCCAGACATGTAGCCGAAGGGTAAGACATGGGCTTTTCTAGACTACACCGGACCGTCACTAGGCGGCCGATCGCAGGGTTTCAGCTAAGCCACGTTGACGCCATGAGTCTATGAATGCCCGCAACAGGCGGGATCTTAATTAACGAGTGACACCACGATTTCAGCATAGGCCTGCGGGATATCTAGGAGAGAAGCAGATGCTAGCGAGACTGAGTCGAAGTTCCTTGCCATTTAGAACTTGATTCCAGGAGTCGAAAAGATCGTCAGTGAAAATCACCACTGTGTCCTAGCAAAGTCTTGACTGTAAGCATGGCGACTCGCTTCCTCTTCATATACCCCATAGGTGGTCATAGAGATTTCTCTAGCCCAGGCCATTCTGGCCCTCATATCTTCCCCGGTCAGAGCCATACGTCAATCAAAAAGATGCGCCCACAGGCGGCAAACTGGGAAAAGAAAGTAGTATCACTACCTAGGCTTCCAATTTCTACATGAACCAAGACAACTGACCATATACTTGAACATGCCATCAACTCTTTCGAGGGTTGCTTAGCAGACATAGCATACATTGACTTAGCTGGCGATGCTCACTTGGGGATTCCTCAGCCTTAAGCCAAGGCCGTCGTTCTCGTCGCGCAACGCAACCGTCTGGTAATTACTCACCTCTCTCATCGATCCTAGACTAGAGAGGTCGTGTCCTTGCTTGTAAGGAGGATGTTGAAGCCCATGGTACAGAAAGGGGAGAAGTGAAGTCTTCCAGATTGGCATGCTTCGCGTCCACCAC